TTATTTATTCCATGTTAGAAAAGGCTCCATTTTGAATTATATCTATGTATCCATGTGTATATTTTATCTCTGATGTAGCGTTGGTCAGCGACAGCTGGTTTGTCTAGCTAGAACTCTACTACACAAGACAAAGATCCTGATTCTGGACGAAGCCACGGCAGCCGTGGATGTAGAGACAGACGAACTGATCCAGAGGACGATTAAATCAGAGTTCAGTGACTGTACTGTACTGTCTATAGCTCATAGACTCAACACCGTGATGGATTACGATAGGTGAGTTACTGTCTATAGCTCATAGACTCAACACTGTTATGGATTACGATAGACGAGTTACTGTCTATAGCTCATAGTCTCAACACTGTGATGGATTACGATAGGTGAGTTACTGTCTATAGCTCATAGACACAACTCTGTAATTGATTATGATAGGTGAGATACTGTCTCCAGCTCATAGACACAACACTGTAATTGGATTATGATAATTATAAGTTTAGAGGACACTTAAGGTAAGGTTTGCATCTCCCTCCAACTCATATTTTTTTTAATATGCACACATGCTATATATCAATTTATTCACGGAGATTAGCTTCATTATTTAATATGATTTTCAAAGATATTGCCCGTCTCATTTTTTGAGTAAAAGACGCCAAATTTAACGTATTTCATATTTCACCTCGAATATTATTTTCATTGAAAAAATTGATTTATTTTATAAATTATCAAACTTTTATTATCAAAATGACCGGAATTAGTATAATTCATGCTTCTATTATTTAAATGTTTAAATTTCCTTTATCAGAAATGTGAAAATTTGGGTAAAAAAGAAGATTTTTCAATTTTCCTTGATAAAGTGAAACCGTTGCCATGGCAACAAAAATATAAAAACCAACGTTTTACATATCTACCGATTCCATCAAAATCCATGAAGTTATTAATTTGATCATTTTCATTAATTTGAACTAAAAAAATATGTATGTCCCCAATATTATTTCCATGGAAACAGGGGCTATATTATGGGTTCGGAACATAAAAATCAGGCTTTTTCTACAATTTTAAAGACAACATTGATATCACCTTGTCATGGTGAATGTTAAAGACTGATGTTATTTTCTATATTGTTTTTAGGCATAAATTGACCAAAAATATTCAAAATAAAACTCTTCCTGTGCTACATGATGGTCTAAAAATTTATTCCATGGAAGAACTGTAGTATTTATGACAATCTTTACATCTGAATATTCTGATGAAATTGTCCATGAATTATACTGCAACACCTTTAGAAGTACATATATATGTATATAAACATACTTCAGAATATGTTGCAACTAAACCAATTAAAAGCCTATGAATTTGACCTCATGCTGATTAGTTATTCCAACATGTAGTAACTTCTAGACATCTTTGTAGCAAAATATCTTTATTCAGTTATGGTTGGTGACTGTCATTATACATGTATGCCATTTTTTGAGTGAAATGTTGTAAGCATTGCATCCACGAAGCTGCTGTTTTTATAATTAAATTATTTCCTTACTTGGAAGAGTAGAAATGCTATCTTTAAAGTAATGTTTGTTTGCCCTCTCTTGACTCAGGGTAAAATTATTGGGTCAGTAGGTGAGGAAATCTTCAACAACATTTTTTAAGGGGGATAAAAGGAATAAAAAGAAAAAAATACTGCCCTGCATTGAAAAAAAAGTTTTCAGTCTGGTCATTTTAGTCAGTCGGTCTGGAGAGGCCGACAACCAAACATTTTTTAAAGATGGCCTATTTCTACACTTCATGGACATTAGCTCAATCATTGGATTAGATAGTCTTAGAATCTAAATTGAAATATCAGACAGAACAAAATAAAGATGAATTCTAAGTGACATCAATTCATACTTTGATAATGAGTTTACAGAGTACTTCTGATTTCAGAGAAAAGGCAAATTCTGCAAGATGACATAACACTGTCATTATGATAAATATTTGTCAAGAACAGGTAAAAAGAAACAATGCTACAGTGATAGATATATTTCCTTGATATCCATGAAATAATAGTTTAAATATAACAAAATTTTCTGCTTTTTAAAATCAAAATACTTGAAAAAAATTTAAAAGATTATAAATGTAAACAATTTTAAAATAAACTACATGTATTTGTGAAAAAAAATTAATTTCATTAGATTACTAAATTGGTCTTATCATTCCTACTAAATTAACAACCTTACAATTGCCAAGTGTCATGTTTTAAACTGTTACAGTAGATATAATTATACATGTTCATTGCAGCTTTATATACAAAACTCGTCAGTTTTCAGAAATACTTATTTGAGCATATTAGGTCCTGGTAAGAACAAAATTTAATGAATAAAAATATTAATCTTAATTGTTCATGTATTAATTTCCTTGCAATTTTACAAACCCTTTTACGAAATTTGTTACATGTAAGTATAGATCTAGACAAAAGCAACCTTCAATTAATACCTATGTATAGTATACATTTATTTTACTGAAAACAAATTCAAAGATGGACAAGCAGAGCATGAACTGCAATCATGGCATAATGATACACATCTTTTCTAAATATATGGAAAACAGCATGTATATACTAGATACGGATGTTGTTGAACATTAAATTTTCTTCTATAATCTATAGACATATAAAAATATGCATTGGGTATAACAAGTAGGAAGTTCTTCTCCAAATCTCCATTGATTTTGCTATGTCTGGTTCAACATCTTAGCTTGATCCATCCAACTTTCTTTAATATTCTTGAGCTGATATGGGATGACCTCTACTTTGATTGGTGGCACAAATCTTTTTAGGAAACACTGAAGTACTTTTTTTGGTTCTTATCTATTCCAATATTAATGACCCATGATCTGAAATCACATGTGTTCATTTTTACAATAAGATTTAAGGAATTGCATTTTTTGAATAGCATAAGGAATTGCACTGAGTTTCATTCACTCAATGAAATGAATAAATTTCCAATATAATGAATGAAGAATCAATATGAAATTATTGTAAAAATTACAGATTGAATTAGTGAAATTCAAATGCTTGATCAAGAAAATTAATGTTCTTGTCATGCACAATCTGTATCTCTTTTTATTAATTAGAAAATGGGATATTAATTAAAATCAAACCTCATTTAAAAAGGTAACTTGAACAATTGTATACCTGTTCTTAATCCCTGTTGAGATTCTGCTAGGCTAGATATTTGGACTGACGCCGTCGCGACGGCGTCAGTCCAAATATCTAGCCTAGCAGAATCTCAACAGGGATTAACCTGTTCTGAGGCCTAAACAGCAAGGATTTTATTTTTCATAATTTCTTGAATGAATGCATTTTTTAAATTTTTTGGCAATGTTGGGATATTAGTCACATCCTGACATCATTGTACCGTTTATTCATCGTTTTTAGTTAGTAGATCATTCATAACTTTCAGTAAAATGAATAGTTAAATAATTACCTGATGAAACTATCAACAATCAAACTGTCAACGTCATCATTGGACATGGTCAAATGCACCGTGACTTTTCGTCCCGGTTCGGACTGCATATAGCATAAATGTAATACTTTACAGGATACTCTCAGGTCTTTTCTTTTTTCTTTCCCATTCTCACTTAAAATTTTAGTGTAGTGGTGAAGCGAGAAACACACATCAGCACAATGCGTCAATGACTTTCTTCTGATCGGAATTACCGTGCAACTTGCCACGTTTCGTATCGAAAATAAACAAGTCCTCCTTTATTGGTTCATCCACATCCATCACGCTAATCTCAAAGGCTTCTAAGATTCCTATGCTTTGATTTGTTATAATACTTTGAATCGTCTTTCTTCTGAAAACGTCCTTCGTTTTTAGTCCTAACATTAAGTGAAAACAAACATCAAGTATGACAGAGGAAATTCGTTACGGAGACGCTTAGCATCTTTGGTTTAAATTTGCCTGTTTCAAACGCTTTGGTGATTCGCAAGAGTTATCTCCCTGTTAACGCAAACCTTACCTTAATTGGCAGTCTTATTATGAATTTTAATGTTTTATTTTTACAGAATAATGGTAATGGACAAAGGATTAATAGTCGAGTTTGGAGCCCCACAAAAACTACTGGAGGATAAATCCGGGGTCTTCTACAAGATGGCTAAAGCTGCTAACCTCGTTAATTAACATATCTTATTTAGAGTCATTACGATACTGCAAAATCACATATCAAATCCAATGAACCAATATATTTCCCTCAAACTGCGAAAATTTGACCTTCAAAAAATATGTGATTTTACAGTATTTTTGGTTCCTGTTTCTCAAAAAACGGATTTCTCAATAAACGGATATTCAAATTGTATTTGAATTTGAAATGATTTATGTTTAATCTTTTTACTTTAAATTTCTAGGATTCCTCTAGAAACTAACTGATTTTGAAATAATAATCAATTCACAATTATTGATTAATAAATAAAGAAATATATAACAATAATTAAATAATCGTTATAAAAAATCTACATATTTAATTTTCGAAATTGACGATAAAACAAGATCATTATTTCCCATAATTTTTTTTTTTAGCTCACCTGAGCCGAAGGCTCAAGTGAGCTTTTCTGATTACATTTTGTCCGCCGTCCGTCCGTCCGTCTGTCTGTCCGTCCGTCTGTAAACTTTTCACATTTTCGACTTCTTCTCAAGAACCACTGGGCCAATTTTGACCAAACTTGGTACAAAGCATCCTTGGGTAAAGGGAAAGAACAAAATACAGTGTTAGCAGTAATTCGCCGAAAAAAAATACGATATTTTAATCTTCTTTGTACAATTTTTTGATGTTATGCTTTGAAGTAAGGAAGATGCGAACTAAATTCTACAGGCACAAAAATGACGTAATTTTTAACTATGACGTCACTAATGCGCGCTAAACATGGAATGGTTGTGTAAAATCGTTAAATTATTTTGAAAAATGAGTATCTTTGCTGAAGTTAGACCCTTTCACATGCAACAACCACTTTTATACTCCGCATATAAGTTCATCATTACATATCGCAGTTACACTATTAAAATAGTGTTGGTTGTCACCTGTGATCAATATGAATTTTGCAAAAGTTAACATGCGGAAAAAGGATATTTTAACGACACAATTTTCCTGATATCGATAATAATGACGCATAATTGATACAGAATGAGATTTTCTGATTTTAGGTACCATCACTGAATATCGTAAACTATTAAAACCTATGAATAGGAATAAAATATTTTGAAAACAAAGAATAAATGGTACCTAAAGATGCCGCTTGTACTTTGTACATCATCTGCACAAGTGTATAGACTATAGTGTCCGTTGGTTGTACATGTAGTATTGAACAACAGTACTAAAATATCCTAGACCTTAATTCATTCGACAAAATAGCACAATAATATTTTTTTTAATTTATTAAAAAATTAATTTTAAAAAAATCGGAAATACCTCAGTATAATTATATTTTCTATGAGTCTTTCTCAATGTACATGTGTATGTAGTCTTACTATAGTCATAGTGTGACCTCCGAACAATAATATTACAACCATAAAAAATACAATAAAATGTATATGCATCGAATACGATAACCTTTTAATGTAACATTAATAGTATGGTCCAACTTTAAATATGTTTTAAAGACTTTTATTGTGAAAAATAAATATTATAATATTCATGATAATAATAAATTTGCAGTAGCTGATAGCAGTTAATTCAACAAAACAATACAAGTAAAAATAAATTGCCGAATACTACATAGATTAGTAAGAATATTATTTGTCCGGGCAGGGACAGGGGCCCACAACCAAACAAAAAAATGATTTATTACGAAATGTATATTTTAGACACAAAAGCCCCCACCCCCTTAAATCCGCCAGCTTTGCAGTGGCATGATATGCATATCAAGAAATTCAAATATTAATAGCTGAAGCATTAAAGAAAATTCTAGCAAATTAATTCAATATATGTATTTTTTTTCTTTAATTGAAGCGGCCTATAGTATAAAATTTTAACATCATTGTTCCATTCCAGGTGTGTAGCAAAGTTATCCTGTTATGGTTGCCTCTAATCATAATCTTCAGAATTTTTTTTTAGATTTTAGTTCTCTCACCATGGATCATTTAGATATCAAAATTTTGCCACCACTTTTTTCAGACACTGTATAAGTTTTTAACTCAATAATTGTCATTGACTCTCCCCCCCCCCAGCCCTACACATACTTTTTGTTAATGTGATTAAGGCTGACTGGATGTAATTGTACGTTTGATGTTACCTATAAACTTCAAAACCTACGAGGGAGGAAGGGAAAAATTAAACAAACGAAATCTTCGAAGAAATGAGTATTTACTCATTTATGAATTAAAATGCGGTCAATATTTGTAATCATGTAGGCTTATTGTTTCAAAATTAGTTTTAAGTAAACTTGTCACTTTACATGAAAGAATAGACTCTCAGAGGGTTCATATGTTGTCTATTTCTATATATGGAATGTACAGTTTTGCTAAAAGTAAACGAACACTTTAAAATATGTTGACTTTTCCGAGTGCCAATTTCTCCGAGACCTCCGTGCACGGTATACGAACTTGGGGCAGCCAAAAGTTGTAAGTTGTGTAACAAAAATGTACTGAGAGAAGATAAGTTTGAACTTGATTAATCCCCCTTCCAAATCAAACCGCTTGTCAAGATCTTTCAGGGTAAGTTTATTTTATTCTACCCCCGCCCCCTTTCAAAAGCAAAATACTTGCGTACGTCACTGCTATGTCGGCGATTTTCGTGAATAAGAGACAGAACATAACTAAATCAACTTGTATTTAATAATGAGGGATTGAATATGCATAAGATATATCGTTTATGATAAAATTTGTGTAATTTAAGGGATTTAATCTAGCTGAAATCATATTTTCCGTTTCGTTCCGCGTTTTAGCAACACCCGGAAAGGGGGATGCTAATTCGGTTAAAAAAAAGAAAGACTTGTACCCATGCTAGTGGAATTCTGAAAATCTTACAATGGTCAGTGACATCCAGCAGCTTTTGACCTATCTGATCAAGCTAAAGGCTTCCCTGCCCTTCATCCTTGGATTTTCAGAATAGTAGAGAGTCTTACAGATGAAACACAAACAGTCTTACAAAACCCTCCCGAATCTTTGTTACGAAGGAAAGCAGATCATCTTTGCAAGTTGTCATCAATAAGATAATTGTTTTGGATTGATGTACACAGATACGGGTATTTCAAAACCTAAATCCAGGTATATCGGATTCCTTAATGTCCAATAGCATACACAATAACATTTCTTAATTTGTGATCACGAAATTCATGTACGTAGAAAAAGTCGTATTTACTTTTTTATACTTCCACTATCTTTACTAAATATTAGTACGTTTTTATGTTTGATAAAATGCCACCACTTCATAACATTATGCATTTTGTACGATATGGCGTGAATTGGGACATATAAAGGAATTACATGTACAATAAGGAAATTCAATCTACTACTTCTGAAGGAAAAGCTCGCATCTCAATTTTTTTTTCGATAATAAAAAGTTTCAACACTCTTAGAAAGGGAAATACATATTCATGGCTGGGGGAGGGGGGTTAATGGGCCATGCAATTTATGAAAGACCTGTGCTTCCCGGGAAGGGGATTGCAGATAGTTGGTGTTTTTTTTTGTTTTTTTTTTTTTTTTTTTGCTCACTATATATAACATTAATTCCTTAAAATTACGAAAAGGTATGTTTGGGGATAGGGACTACTTAATTTTCTAAAGCATTTTTTTTCCAGTTGTGCCCATCCCCCTACTAAAATGACTTCTCATGGACCAATATATATATTACATGTTTAGTATATTCTTTAAGGTTATCCGATCCTCAGGTTCTGAAAATCAGGCATTGAGTAATTGAAAATGCTCACAAAGATGTCTCTAAATTCTCAAATTAAAATGTATTTACCCACGGTGTTTCTTTAAAATTCATCTTCAAATTTAATCATATTATATAGGGAAAATTAGTAAATCTCGAATAATTTTTCAGGAAATGCGATTTGAACTACCTACTGCATATTGTTTAATTGATAATTGATCAATAAATACATTTTAGGAATAAAAATTATAGGTATCCAGGCTTTTAAAGAAAATTGCATGAATTTTCAATTATTTGGACTTTACTTTCTCGTACTTACTTCCATTGTTTCATAATGCATAGTGTATGGAGTGTTTCCTTTCAAAGAAAACACTGTAAATCACTTCTAATTTCAAATAATGCATATAAACATTGGTAACTAAGGCTAAATTAAAAGAAATTTGATTTTTTTTAAATATGCAAGTTCTACTTCATTTTATGAGGTACAAATGTCAACTTTTTAAATAACGTTTGTTAAAACTTTAAAGAGCATTGAATCATACGTAGAGGCATAAAATGAAAATTGTTGCATGAAAAAATTTCAATTTCAAGCCTTATTTTAATACTTTTTGAATTAAATTATAAATTAAAGAGTTATCCTTCCTGGCTGAGGATCGTATATCCTTAAATACAGGAAATACTCGTCTGTATTGTATTGTACATTATAACCCTCCGGATTCTTTTCGTTTACTGTGAGAATCATACAAAGTCGTTCAATTGTCAGAAAAATGAAGATGCAAGGAAGCTGTGATCTATTTTTTAATGCTACATTCTTTACCAAGCGAAGAATTTTTGCGAAAAATAAAACAACAAAAAAAAGTGTCACCAGCAACTTAAACATTTTAAACCTATTAAAATATGCGAACACTGTACTAAATACATATATTTGGAATAAATATGTCATCGGCTGCTAGAAAGTGGGGATTCTCAAAAGAAAATCCATGAGCGATTATACATGTACTTATCCGACAAAATTGTCAAAAAGTATTGAATATGTAAACTTACGAGGGTTGTCCCAGAAAACGCGAACATTTTCAATATCTTTAGTTTCACTTTGACTATAAATCAAAAAAAATATACGAGTAAATCATTATCAAGTAGTCAGCTAAATAGTAAATCAATAATAGTTTCCGAACAGGTTTTATAACTTTTTTTTAAAGCGAATTGAAAGAATACCTGCTGTTATGATATTCAGTCTGAACCGAAAGTTCGATTTACATGTATACCCCCCTCGCCTCCCAATGCAATCCCCCTTCCAAACAAAATTTCACAACATCTACTGATAATTCATTTTCAGTCTTATTAAATATAATTTTACAGTCCTATGAAAACCAGAATATATTGTAAGGCATTTATAAATTATATGAACTCATTCAACTCATAATGGAGGGAAGGGGGGCATTTA